ATTATAGTAATAATACCTACATATTTATTGAATACAAGATACTGTATTAAAACTGCTCATGAATTAGTTGATTAAATCTAATTAAATGACTATTCCCAAGAAAATTTACATAAATAGTTTAAATTACTTCCCTAAGATCATACAAGTAGTAAGAGAGAGGTCTCACATTTGATTTCCTGTAGACTGACTCCAGGGCCCTTGAGCTAGAGGAAATATGGATGATGGCAAAGTTCTTTTTTTTTTTTTTAATTTTTAAAGTCTTATTTATTTTTCTTAAATAGTTTATTGTCAAGTTGGTTTCCATATAACACCCAGTGCTCATCCCAACAGGTGCCCTCCTCCATTCCCATTACCCCCTTCCCCTCTTCCCCACCACCATCAGCCCTCAGTTTGTTCTCAGCATTCAAGAGTCTCTCATGGTTTGCTTCCCTCCCTCTCCCCAACTGTTTTCCTCCTTCTCCTCCCCCATGGTCCTCCGTTAAGTTCCTCCTAATCCCCCATACATGCAAACATATGGTATCTGTCCTTCTCTGCCTGACTTATTTCGTTCAGCATAACACCCTCAAGTTTCATCCATGTTGCTACAAATGGCCAGATTTCATTCTTTCTCATGCAAAAGTTCCTGAATCATTCTTGGTATCTTTCTGTGTTTTAAAATTTCTTCAGGACTCAACAAAACTCATAAAAATACTGAAATTCAGTATACTCTTAAAATTCACAAAGAAGGGGTCAAAAGATAGTGTGAAAATCAAGTCAGTGATGTGGAAGAGAAGTTGGAGGATGTCTTCTGAAATGCAGCAATAGAAAAAGATCAAAAAGTTGAAAATGACAAAGAGGTGCCTGGGTGGCTTGGTTGAGTGTCCAACTTTTGCTCAGGTCTTGATCTTTCAGTGTGTGAGTTCAAGCCCATCATCAGGCTCTCTGCTGGCAACTCAGAGCCTGCTTCAGATCCTCTGTCTCCCTCTCTCTCTGATCCTCCCCTACTCACACACTCTCTCTCTCAAATAAACATTAAAAAAAGATGAAAATGACAGGAACATAGAGAATCAATGTGTAGATGAATAGTATTCCTGAATAAAAGAATAATAAATAGAAGAGAAGCAATAATGAAAAGTGAAATAGAAGACAACATTCTTTGAATGGATAAAGAAGGTGTGGTATATATATACAATGGAGTATTACTTGGCAATCAAAAAGAATGAAATCTTGCCATCTGCAACTACATGGATAGAACTAGAGGGTATTAGCAAAATTAGAGAAAGACAAATATCATATGACTTCACTCATATGAGGACTTTAAGATACAAAACAGGTGAACATAAGGGAAGGGAAGCAAATAATATAAAAACAGGGAGGGGGAAAAACATAAGAGACTTTTAAATATAGAAAACAGAGGGTTGCTGGAGGGGTTGTGGGAGGGGGGATGGACTAAATGGGTAAGGGGCATTAAGAAATCTACTCCTGAAATCATTGTTGCACTATATGCTGACTAACTTGGATGTAAATTAAAAAATAAATAAATTGTTTTTTAATTTTTTTTAATGTTTTATTTATTTCCGAGAGAAAGAGAGACAGCGTGAGCACGGGAGGGTCAGAGAGAGAGGGAGATACAGAATCTGAAACAAGCTCCAGGCTCTGAGCTAGCTGTCAGCACAGAGTCCAACACGGGGTTCAAACCCACAAACTGTGAGATCATGACCTGAGCCGAAGTCGGACGCTTAACCAACTGAGGCACCTATGAGCCCCTAAATTATTTTTTTAAAGTCTAAAAAAAAAAGAAAGGATATAGAACTTCAAAAAAAAGGGCAACATCCTTGAACTTAAAAAAAACTTAGTTTATAGTTTAAAGGATTTCACTGTTATATGAATACTAGATATATCAGGTTGAAAATTGTGAGGTTTAAAAGATACGCTGTAAGCATCCAGGCAACAAGTGAAAAGGAGACTGTTACAAAAGCTGGAAATAAAACTAATCAAAGGGTCTCTGTTTACTACTAAATAGCAAAAAGACAATGGAACAATATTTATGGTGTTATTAGGAAAAAGAAGATATCTACAGTATTATTAGCAAAGGGCAGAAAATAAAGAGATAATATTAAAGAGCCGCAAGAATAATAAGAGTGATAGAATGTAAGACCACCTTATCATCCGTGAGAATAAAAATGAACACATTAACATATACCTTTAAAAGACAGACTCAAGCTGGCTCAAAAAAACAATATCCAGGATTTACATTACCTGATTTTGATGCTTACTAAGAAAGCTACAGTAATCAAGACAGTAGAGGATAAGTGAAAGAAAGATATATAGATCAATGGAGCAGAATACAGAGCCCAGAAATAGTGAACTGATCTTTGACAAAGGAGGAAAGGCAATTCAGTGGAGAAAGGAGAGTCTTTTCAGTCAGTGAGGCTGGAGCAATTGAAGTTTACATCCCAAAAAAATGAACCTATACACAGACCTTACATCTTTCACAAAAGTTAACTCAAAATGATTCATAGACTTAAATGTAAAACTTAAAATGATAAAACTTCTAGAAGAAAAGGAGAAAACCTAGATGACTTTGGGTTTGGCAACACCTTTTTAGATACAACAGCAAAACACACATATCTGATAAAGGCCTTTACAAAGTCAGCTAATTGCAAACTTAGGGGGCAGTGCACAAAAGGCTATCCTTACTTCTGAGTATCAGAAGTTGCAAGTTCAAGGGTCTTGTAAATTACCTTCAGGTTTGGTAGGTTGAGAAAGACTCACAGAAATCATTGAAAGATACTTTACTCATGGTTATGGTTTATTACAGCTAAAGGATGCAAATTAAAACCATTCAAGTAAATGAGGCACCTGGGTGGCTTAGCTGGTTGAGTGTCCAACTCTTGGTTTTGGTTCAGGTCGTGATCCCAGGGGCATGGAATTGAGTCCTGTGTTGGGCTTCATGCTCAGCATGGAGATTCTCTCTCTCTCTCTCTCTCTCTCTCTCTCCCTCCCTCCCTCCCTCTCCCTGCTTTTCTGCTATCCCTCCCTCTCTCCTTCTGCTCCCTCCTCCACTCATGCACACTCGCTCTCGCTCTCTCTCTCCCTAAAATGTAAAAAATAACCAGTCAAGTGAAAAGGCACATAGGCCAGAGTCCAGAAAAGTACCAGTGTGGAGCCTCTAGTTGTCTTCTTCCCATGGAGACACGGAAAGTGTTACCTTCCCCAGTATTGATGCTTGACAGCTTTGCACAGAGTATTGCCAACAAGAAAACTCACGTGAGCTATGGTGTCTGGAGTCTTTTTTGGGGTTCAATCACCTAAACCTGACTAGCAGTTCATGTGGTTGGTTTGTCTCCAGTCCCTCGGTAGGTCAGCTGATGTGACCCAAACACCCCAGTCTAAGTCTCATTGTTGATAAGGCTCAAAGCCTCCACCCTAAATCATATTGTTAAACACTTTTATCAGGCAAGACAGTCTAATAGTGTAGAGATTACCTACCAGGAACTAAGGACAAAACCCAGACTTCTCTTTGGGTAAGAAGTTCTTGACTACCTAGACTTGTATCCAAAATATAAAAAGAATAATAACAAGAATTGTCTTCAACAACAATAAGAAACAACTGAGTTAAAAAGTGGGCAGGCACCTCACCAAAGGATGTATACAGAAGGATATGAAGAGATACTCAGAATCATTTGTCAATAAGGAATTACACTATACTTCTTTTAGAATGGCGAAAATCCAAAAAGATGACATGCCACATTGTTGATAAGTATGTGGAGCAACAGGGACTCTCATTCATTGTTACAGGAAATGCAAAATGATGCAGGCACTTTGATAGTTGACAAAGCTAAACAGTCGATTTCAAAGCTAAACAGTCTTCGAGATGTCCTGGCTTCCATTATCCTTTATGTGTTTACTCATGTGATTAATTTCCCATATGTAACCAATTTCCCATCTCTGCCCACTGCCATAAATGAAAACCTTCCTCACGTTAATTTAACTCTGAAACTGAGTACATTAGAAACAGAATAACCCCTCTCCAAAAACATTCATGGAACATTTACAGACCATTGTCATACTGGAAAACAAAAATATCACTGTAGCTTATAGAGCAGAAATTTGATAGACCATTGTATCTGGCCACCGTGCAATAAAACTTAAAATTAATGAATGAAACCCACTTGTCAATTCTTTTCACAAAAAGTTGTTAAATCAAAGCAGAAACCTAAACAGCAACTGTTAAAAATAAGAAGAAATTATCATTTTATTTATACATACAAATACACATATATATGGGATGTAGTCAAAGTTATATATGTACTTTTATTATTTTATTTTTTTTAATATTTTTATTTATTTCTAGGAGAGAGAGAGATAGCGTGAGCAGGGGAGGGTCAGAGAGAGAGGGAGTCACAGACTCTGAAACAGGCTCCAGGCTCTGTGCCAGCAGTCAGCACAGAGCCCGACGCGGGGCTCGAACCCACAAACCACGAGATCATGACCTAAGCGAAAAGTCAGACGCTTAACCGACTAGGCCACCCAGGCACCCCATACTTTTATTATTTTAAAATACAATGAAGGGAGGGGCACCTGAGTGGCTCAGTCGGTTGAGCATGGAACTCTTTGATTTCAGCTCAGGTTATGATCTCAGGGTCATGGGATCCAGCCCCATGTAGGGCCCCATGTTGAGCTTGCAGCCTGCTTAAGATTCTCTCTCTCCATCTCTTTCTCCCTTGCTGGCCCTCTCCCCCGTTCATGCTCTTTCTCTCTTTAAAATAAAATAAAATTTTAAAAATTTTAGATGGAATGAGGGGCGCCTGTCTGGCTCAGTTGGAAGAGTATGCAACTCTTGATCTCAGGGTCCTAAGTTCAAGCCTCACACTGGGTGTAGAGATTACTAGAAAAATAAACTTCAAAATAAATAAATAAATAAAATGGAATGTAACAGTGAATTCACCTCCCAAAGTTAAAACAAAGGTTAGCAAGTGGAGGAATATATAAAAATAAAGAGAAAATTGGCAGTGGAGAGGCCGCGTGGGGGAGGAAGGCGGCGCTGGGCCAGGGAGGCCCGCCGCGGGATATTTCGGGGCGGCGAGAGCGGATTTGCCATGGCTTTCTTTGCTGGGCTCCGGGGCCCCTTCACCCGTGCAGGCAGAGCCCTCAGCCAGTGCAGTTTCAGCACCACCGGGAGCCTTGATGCCATTCAGAAGATGACACGCGTGCGCGTGGTGGACAACAGTGCCCTGGGGAACACCCCATACCATCGCCTGCCTCGTTGCATCCACGTCTATAACAAGAATGGGGTGGGCAAGGTGGGTGACCAGATACTGCTGGCCATCAAGGGGCAGAAGAAAAAGGCACTCATTGTGGGGCATCGCATGCCTGGTCCCCGGATGAGCCCCAGGTTTGACTCTAACAATGTGGTCCTAATTGAGGACAATGGGAACCCTGTGGGGACCCGAATTAAAACACCCATCCCCACCAGCCTACGCCAGAGGGAAGGTGAATTTTCCAAAGTGCTGGCCATTGCTCAGAACTGTGTGAGCCGTGGCCAGGCCACTGGCTGCTGTGGGACTCATGGGAAGTAACTCGGGGCCCCATGCTAGGGAACAGTGTCCTGTGAAAAAATAAACTTTTTCATGTAAAAAATAAATAAATAAATATAGAGAAAATTGAACAAAATAAGAAAATAGAAAAATGGTAAAACAGAAATTCCAGGTAAATTGGCCTGGTAATATACAAATTTTAGGAAGTCATTTAGCAAAATGTTAGAATATTAGAGGAATCTTTATATGAATTTTAAAAAATTATCAAATTACCATATAGCAGTTTTGTTAAGAATTTGAAAATACTGATGAAAGAAATTATTTGGTGGAGATATAAATGATCAAACGAATATTTTAACATTAAAGTTTATTTATTTTGAGGGGAGGGATGAGGGCCAGAAGAGAGGGGAAGAGAGAATCCCAAGCAGGCTCTGCACTATCAGCATGGAGCCTGACACAAGACTCGAACCCACAAACTGAGATCATGACATGAGCTGAAACCGAAAGTCAGAGGCTTAACTGACTGAGCCATTCAGGTGCCCCTAATATATATTTTTTAAGTCTGTTTGGGGCCCCCGGGGACTCTTGATTTCAGCCCAGGTGGATGATCTCATGGTTCATTCGTTTGAGTCCTGCACTGAGCTCTGCACTGACAGCACAAAGCCTGCTTGATATTCTCTCTCTCTGCCCCTCCCCCCACTCATTCTCTCTCTCTCTCTCTCTCTCTCTCTCACTCAAAATAAATAAATAGACTTTTTAAAAAAGTCTTTTATTATTATTTTTAAGTAAACTCTACCATCAACATGGGGCTTGAACCTGAGATCAGGAGTCACATGCTATATTGATTCAGCCAGCCACGTGCCCCAAAATTGATTATTTCAAAAAGTAGAAAACAGGAATTCTAATATGTTGGAAGAAATAATTAATATTGTGCCCAAAACACACTTTTTTTAGAGAGAGAGAGAAATCACTTTTAAACACACTCTTTTTTTCACAGTGTTATGGGTAAGCTTTTTTCCTGTTTCTGTGAATAGATAATTCAGGCAATAAAACATGCAGAGTATAAAACCAAAGGCTTCTATTACATGAAAAACTAATTTAACGCACATAATAAAATATAACAGTACAGAAAGTTAAAACCAGTCACACAACTATAAAAACAAGCAACCAAATTATTAGCAAATAAAATTGACATTGTAATAAAAGAACTATATACCATGAGCCAAATAGAATTTGAAAGTATGATAAGAAATTACCAATAATACATTTATATAGGTAGATCAACAGGAACCATATTTTTGTCTGAAATACTTTACGGGCTACAGTTTTAAAAATTGGGTCACTTAAAAAAAAATCTCTATGAAGTAGGAATTAAAAGATACTTTAAACTATATTTTCTAAAAGTCCGTCTTTTTTTTTTAAGTTTATTCATTTTGAGAGAGAGCAAGGGAGGGGCAGAGAGAGAGAGAGAGAGAGAGAGAGAGAGAGAATCCCAAGCAGGCTCCACACTGTCAGTGCAGACCCCAGCTCTGGGCTATAATTCACAAACTGTGAAATCATGACCTGAGCTGAAATCGAGTTGGGTATCTAACCAGCTGAGCCATCTAAAACTCCATCTGTAAGTTAATTAGCCAATATCATGTTAAAACCATTTCCATCAGAAAAAGACATTCCCATGTAAAACAAGAACAAGAAAAGAAGGTTCATTGGCACCACTATTATTCATTTGGTTTTCTATATTGTTTTTTAATTTTTTTTTTTTTTTTGAGAGATCACCTGCATGCTCATACACAAGTAGTGGGGAGGGGCAGAGAGAGAGGGACAGAGAGAATCTTAAGCAGGCTCCATACCCATCCTGGCACGGGACTCAATCTCACAACTGTGAGATATTGACCTGGGCTATAATCAAGAGTCTGATGCTTAACCAACTGAGCCACCCAGGCACCCATATTTCAGTCATTTTCAAATGTGTCATTTGGTGGCTTTAAGTACATTTACACTGTTGATGCTTAACCATCTGAGCCACCCAGATGCCCCTTTGTTGCTTTGAGGTTGTTTTTTTTTTGTAAGTTTATTAAGGTATCTACATGCAGTAAAGTTTACTCTTTCTTTGTTGTTGTTGTTTTTAGGTTGTACATAATGAGCCCTGCAACTTTGCTAAACTCATTAGTTTACTAAAATTTATTACTTTTGCTAGCCTTTTTGTAGAATTTTTTGGAGTGTCTGTGCCAACCAGCATTCCGTGGACAGACACCATGTGCTCATGGTGCACCTTTTTTATAGTGGTAAAACATACCTAACATAAAATTTACTATTTCAACCATTTTTCTCTTTTTTTGAAGTTTATTATTTACTTTGAAAGAGAGAGAGGGAGAGTGCATATGCGGGAGTGTGTGAGCAGGAGAAAGGGAGAGAGAGAGGGAGAAAGAGAATCCCAAGTAGGCTCAGTGCTGAAAGCATCTTGATGCAAGGTTCAGTCTCATCATAACCTGAGCTAAAATCAGGAATCAGATGTTTAACCGACTGAGGGACCCAGGTGTCCCTATTTTCAAGTGTATAATTTAGTGGCTTTAAGTACATTCACATTGTTGTGCAACCATCACCACTATACCTCTCCATTTTTCTCATCATCCCAAACAGAAACTCCATACCCATTAAATAATATTTCCCAATTCCTCCTTTTCTAGCCACTAGTAACCATCGGTCTCATTTTTTGTCTTTATGAATTTGATTATTCTACATAACTTAATGTAAGTGGAGACATATATTATTTGTCCTTTCTCTGGCTTATTGCACTTAGCATAATATTTTCAAGGTTTATCTGTATTATAGCATGTATCAGAATTTCATTCCTTTTCAAGGCTTGTTAATTAACTGGCTTTTTGCAGTTGTGTTCAAGAAGGATATTGGTTTGGAATTATCTTGTGATTTATTTGTTTGCTTTTGTATCTGGTTAGTGCTGCCTTATCAAATGAGTTGGAAAATGCTTTCTACTCTTCTGTTTTCTTGAAGAGTTTGTGTAATATTAGATTAGTTTTTCCATAAATGTTTGGTAGAAATTGCTATTGGAGACCTTTGGGCCTAGAGTTTTCTTTGTGGTGAGGTTTTAAACTGGGAATTAAATTTCTGTAATAGGTATGGGACTATTCAGGTTGTCTGGCTTTTGGATTTTGGGTTTTTTTTGTTTTTTTGTTTTTTTCTTTTTGAGTGAGCTCTGGTAGTTTGTATCCTTCAATGAATTTGGGAATGTGTTGTTTAACTGGGAATTTTCCAGAAATCTTTGTTACTGATTTCTAGTTTAATTCTTTTGTGATCAGAGACCCTCCTTTGTTTTGCAGTTTTGAGGTTTGCTTCAAGATTTGTTATACGGCATATCTCAGTTAATGTTTCAAGTGCACTGAAAAGATTGTGGATTTTGCTGATGTTGAATGGAGTGTTCTGTAAACATAAGTGATGCCAAGTTGATTGTTAGTGTTGTTCAGATTTTCTGTATCTTTTTTTTTTTTAACGTTTATTTAATTTTGAGAAAGTCAGAGTGCCTGTAGGGCAAGGGCTGAGAGAGAGGGAGACACAGCATGTGAAGCAGCCTCCAGATTCCAAGCTGCCAGCACAGAGCTCAACACAAGGCTTGAACCCATGAACTCCGAGGTCATGACCTGAGCCAAAGTTGGATGCCTAACTGATTGAACTACCCAGGCACCCCCAGAATCTCTGTATCTTTACTCTGTGTCTACTCGTTTTGTTGATAACTGAGAGAGCAATGTTGGTCTCAAGTTTTAATGGTGCTTTTTCTGTTTCTTCTTTGAGTTGTCACTTTCTTGCATATATTTTGAAACTCTGTTGTCGGTACTTGCACAGTTAGGTTGTTATATGTTATTTTGTTTTTTTGTGTGCTGTTTTCTCGTATCATTATGTAATACCCATGTCTATCCCTGGTAACAGTGTTTGTTCTGGGAATCTCTGAATTTTAATTAGGGTCTCTAGATAATTTACATTTAATGTAATTATTAAGATGTTGGATTTAAATCTGCCATGTTGCTAGTTTTTTTTTTTTTCTATATGTCCCATCTGTCTATTCCTTTCTTTTTTTTTTCCACTTGATTTATTTTGGATAAATTAGGTATTTTTCTTGTGATTCCATTTTACTTCCATTTTATACTTCGCTAATTTGTTATACCTCGTTTTAAGTTTTTTTATTTTTAGTATTTGTTCTAAGGTTTACAGAGTACACCTTTAAGTTATTACAGTCTACTTTCTTTTTTAAAAAATTTTTTAAAGTTTTATTTATTTATTTTGAGAGCAAGAGAGAATGAGCATTGAGAAAATCCCAAGCAGGCACTGTGCTGTCAGTGCAGAGTCAATGCAATCTTGAACCCACAAACTGTGAGATCATGACCTCAGCTGAAATAAAAAATTGAATGCTTAACCAACAGAGCCACCCAGGTGCTCCTATCACAGTCTGCTTTCAAAGAATGTTATACCATACCATATAGACTTTCTTTTCTACTCTCTTATCTTTTGTGCATTGTTAGCATACATTTGTTTTTACAAATTATTACAAACCCTATAGTACATTGTTAATGTTTGGTTTATATTCTCAGCTATCTTTTAAAGTGATTAAAGATTAAAGAGAGGAGGAAATTTTCATCCAGTCTAATAATGAGAAAGTTGAAATAGTTATTTTAAAGCACTTGTCTGATATTTCTAAGATCTGGGTCATATCTAAGTCTGTTTCTATTGATTGCTTTATCTTTTGCAGGTGTTTTTCCCCCCTTTTGTAGATGTGTTACAGTTTTAATGCCAGACATTTCATATAAAAGAACAGTAGAGATTGAAGTAAATAGTACCTATACATGGAAATGGACACACTTCTTTTGTTAGGCCATTTGTTTATGGGATTGAGTCAGTCACTCAGTAGTTGAGCTGGGTTTGGGTTCTAGTGTTGCTGTGATTAGGTTCAGTGTGCATCAGGGGAAGAAAGACATTGAACCTTCAAGAAAAATCTTGCTCTTTAGAAAGGGAAAATAATTTTTAATTAATTA